CCTATATACAATATCCCGACACGATAAGTATCATGGATACGCGCCCCAACAGCCCCTATATACCTGTCTCTTATACACATCTAGATGTGTATAAGAGACAGGGTGAGGGTAGACGGGGTGAGGGTAAACGGGGTGAGGGTAGACGGGGTGAGGGTAGACGGGGAGAGGGTAGACGGGGTGAGGGTAGACAGGGTGAGAAAAGACGGGGTGAGGGTAGACGGAGTGAGGGTAGACGGGAGTGAGGGTAGACGGGAGTGAGGGTAGACAGGGTGAGGGTAGACGGGAGCAGACAGGACAGATGCGATGTCCAGCAGTTCGCAATATTGATTGCTTGTATTGATCAGTCACACAGAGCCTAAGATGGAGTCACACAAACATACAAACTCACTCGAATACATTAATACAGCCTCCTCTGCCTATTGTTATCTTTTGAATTGTTATTGTATAATATGCATATACATATACCATAAAAAACAGTGCTACTGTATATAATTGTGTGTTCTATAGTTTTTAGCTTGACTGTATATCGCTGTGCAACATTTATTTTTAATACAAAATAATTTTGATTATTCAATCAGGGTACATGCACAATAATATACAATATTACTGTATATTATTGTGTGTGATATATTATTTAGCTTGACTCTATATTGTGGTACGATTTTTATTTTTCTTACAAAATCAATTTTGATAATTTAATTAGGGATTTTTATAAAATGTCAAAAGTAAATTACAGTAGAACTTGAGATGAAGAGTACTTCACTATCGTTTTAACTAAAACTAGCACTGTATCTTTACAAAACTTTACAAAAATTGTACTTATAGTCCCTATACTGAATTTATACATGTAAGTAAATTAATGTTTACATCATCGCTAATTACAACACAATTATAGATATCAAAATATATAATTCAAATAAAATTGAATTTGTTCATATCTTGGAATTGCCAGTGGCAAATGTCAATTGCTATGAAAAGACTGGCGAAAAATCGTGAACATTGCCTCCAAAATATTGATGTAAAGTAGTGAATATTTCCTCCAAAATATTGATGAAAAAAGTGAACATTGCCTCCAAAATATTGATGTAAAATAGTGAATATTGCCTCCGAAATATTGATGAAAAATTGAATATTGCCTCAAAAATATTGATGAAAAATAGTGAATAGTGCCTCAAAAATATTGATGAAAAATAGTGAATAGTGCCTCCAAATATCAAAGAAATATAGTGAATATTGCCATCAAAATATTAATGAAATAAAGTGAATATTGCCTCTAAAACATTAATGAATGCAACAACTAATAGAGGTAAAACTTAGGAAGTTAAAAGAGGTAAAGAAAAAAAAAACGGAAAGAAGGAATTGTTTTTGAAATAATCAGATATGAAAAACTCAGGGAAATTACACTCGCGAAAAAAGTATAAGTGCTGTAAACAACAACGCGCTGTAAACAACAACGCGCTGTAAACAACAACGCGCTGTAAACAACAACGCGCTGTAAACAACAACGCGCTGTAAAAAAACACTGTTAACTGTGTCAACTGAATGCAAATTCATGTTCATTCATCAACGCGTTTCTTGACCCGTCGACTTTTGAAAAAGAATTATAAAAAATTTTCCGGCCGTCCAACAGGCCAGAAACTCAAGACATTTTTTTTTCTTGAGAATTTTGCGCTGAAATTCTGGACAGAGTGTAAACTGCAGCACTTCTGTCATGACTCCCCTCATTTCCCCCACTTTTCCTTTCCCTTTTCCCCATTTCACCCTCAGCCCAACATTTCCTCCATTCCCCCAGCAAAATTTTCCCCACCTTATTTCCCCCTTTTACTTTGCCCATTCCACACACAGCTCCCAGCCCAATTTTCTCTCCCCTTCTTTCCCCAAGCCAAACTTTCTCTTTCCCACTTTCCCGTAGCCAAATTTTCTCTTTCCTAATTTCCCTTAGCCAAATTTTCTCTTTCCCACTTTCCTTTAGCCAAGCTTTCTCTTTCCCCCTTTCCCCAGCACAACTTTCTCTTTCCCCCTTTTCCCAGCCCAACTTTCTCATTCCTTTACCCAACCCAAATTTTTCTTTCTGACTTTCCCTTAGCCAAATTTCCTCTTTCCCAATTTCCCCTAGCCAAACTTTCTCTTTCCCCCTTTCCCCAGCCCAAATTTCCCTCTCCCTCACCTTTCCCCCACAGCCCTCCCCCCCTCGGGGTCAGACCGTCGCAGTGTCCGGCTAAGAGATTCCCCTCGACTTACCCTCGGACTTTGGCTTCATTTTTCCCCTCATTTTGGAGGCAGCGGAGAAGCCCCGCTGGCCGAGGGAACATTTCTTCCCTTCTTTGTCTCCTGTGAACAAAGAGGGGAACAAATGTGAGAAGATGAAGTGGGAATATGAGGGGAACATGAGGGGAACATGAGGGGAACATGAGGGGAACATGAGGGGAACAAATGTGAGAAGATGAGTGGGAATATGAGGGGAACATGAGGGGAACATGAGGGGAACATGAGGGGAACATGAGGGGAACAAATGTGAGAAGATGAAGTGGGAACATGAGGGGAACAAATGGGAGAAGATGAAGTGGGAACATGAGGGAACAAATGGGAGAAGATGAAGTGAGAACATGAGGGGAACAAATGGGAGAAGATGAAGTGGGTTGGGAGTAAATAAAAATGTCTCGACAACTCCAGTGCTGCGGCATCTTTACAGTTAGAAAGTTGTTCACTCCAAACTTTTACTTGTAAACACTAACTATTGAAGAGATAAACAAAGGTATATGGTTGCGAAATAATATACAATATTTCAGGCATTATTGGTGTTTTAAGGCTGTCGCATATGTTATTTAAAAAATAATGCTATTCCAAAATTTTGTGCTAACTTCCGCCTATAATTGTGATAATTTTGGCTCAAACATTCAATAAATCATAATGATGTCAACAATGTTTCCAAAAAGAAAAACTAAAAATGCAAATATTAATGAGACCAAGATGATGTTCCAATGATTTTAGAGTCGAATGGGCAAAACGAAACCTTTTCCGCTCAAAAAAAATTACAAGAAGCAGCCAGCACAGTTCATAGGCGGCCTAAGGATAAAGTTGAGTGTCGCCTTGAAGACTTTGCTGTTGATAACTTGGGGATAGATACTGTTGTTGTTGATACTTGCTTGCTGTTGATAACTTTGTTGTTGATACTTGCAGTGATCGATATACCCTGGTTAAATTATCAGGTCATCTGGAGGAGGTCATTCTCTTGAAAGTGTGAAAAAGCAACTTAAGTTTTGGCGCTGAACCGAAGTTGGAAGTTCAGAAGTTTGTCTGTTAGGAAATAAATCCTCCATAAAAAAGTTTCAACGAAGAACCAGTTCCGTGTACGTGAACTAGACCAGCATGTGTGATGTGAAATAACTTTTACAAGCACTTTACAATACAATGTTTTTCACTAAAGTTACGTTTGTTTCATTTAATAAACTTTATGAACCATTTTACATAAAATTTAGAAATAAATGAGAATAAGCAGAAAGAACTGATATAACTGATGCTAATTTTATCTTCTTCTACTTAATTTCAACCAACACTAAACATTAGTGGTTAGTGTATGGATTGTGGTTATCCACGATCACTAACACTAACTATAGGATGATGTCGAAGATATTGATTAAACTTTGACCCTAACATTAAAGACAAATAATGATGATATTACAGAGTAAAGTCTCAATATGTTTTAGTTTAATGAATAAAAGATTGTCAGTACTATAAGATAAATTGAAAATTAATGTAATCAAAGTCTTGAAATATTGCGGTGATAAAACGATAACAAAAATTAATGATACTAATATTATCAATTAGGTAATTGATGCATTTACCTACATAGGGAGGTAATTATTGCTACATTCTGACGTAGGAAATTAATGCAACATGTATCATCTATTATAATATTTTTCTCTTTCCAGTTTCTCCATGGATTCGGGAAATGAATAAGAAAAGGATGAGGGGGGTTATGATGGAAGAGGGTGGAGGATAGAGAGGGTTTGTGGAAAAGGGAGCAAGGCGAGCCTTTACTCAATGACCGGCCATAGGCCTGCTGGGCCTAGGCCTATATACATATATGTAGGCCTACGGGCCTAGGCCTGCCACCCGTAGGCCTACAGTAGGCCGCTGTGGTGCAGTGGCCGGCCTATTCCTGCGCCCGTAGGCCTACAGTAGGCCGCTGTGGTGCAGTGACCGGCCTATTCCTGCGCCCGTAGGCCTACAGTAGGCCGCTGTGGGGCCGCCACTCCCCAAAAGGTCAGGACTCCCCAGCGGGTCGTTGTGGGAGCCTCGGACGCTCGGCATCCGTCAGGGGGGAAGGCAGGGAGAGAGGGGAGTGAGGGGAAAGGGGATGAGACGAGGGGATATGGGATGAGACGAGGGGCCGTGGGATGAGACGAGGGCATAGGGAAGAGACAAGGGGATATGGGATAAGAAGAAAAGGGGGATATGGGATGAGAAGAAAACTACTCCAATTGTATGGGATGAGATGAGGGAAAAATGGATGAGACGAGGGGAAAGGGGATGAGACGAGGGGCTATGCGATTAGACGAGGGAAAAGGGGAAGAGACGAGGGGAAATGAGGTGCAAATAAGGGAGATGAGGGGAAGCGAGAGGTCAGCGAGTTCAACAAAGGAAAATAATGCTGCAAAAAATATCTCGAAGAGCTGCTACCAGCAAGTCAAGTTTACTGAATGTGAGGGTAAATGTTAAGGGTTGATGAATACGAGGGTTAACGAATTCAGGGGCTCATGAATTCGAAGGCCAATGAATAGGAGGATTAATGGATTCGAAGGCTGATGAATATTAAGTTAAATGAATTCAAGTGTAAATGAATTCAAGGGTTGAAGAATTGTAAAATAAATTAATTCTAGGAAACATGAATTAGAGGTATAATTAACTCGAGAGTAAACTACTTCGAGTGTAAGTGAAATCAAGAGTAAATGAAATCAAGGATAAATGAGTTCGAGTGTAAATGAATTAGAGGGTAAATGAATTTTAGGGTAAATGAATTAGAGGGTAATTGAAGTCGAGGGCAAATGAATTCGAGGGTAAGTGAATACTAGGGTAAATGAATTCGAGTGCAAATGAATTCGATTCGAGGGTAAATGAATTCAAGGGTAATTGAATTCGAGGGCAAATGAATTCGAGGGTAAATGAATTCGAGGGTAAGAGAATACTAGGGTAAATGAATTCGAGTGCAAATGAATTCGATTCGAGGGTAAATGAATTCAAGGGTAATTGAATTCGAGGGTAAATGAATTTGAGGGAAAATGAATTCGGAGGTAAATGAATTCTACTGAAAATGAATTTGATGGTAAATAAATTTGGGGTAAATTAATTCAAGTGTGAACGAATTTACGGGTAAACTTTATATGTTTCAGCAGATTTGAATTTGGCTGAAGAATTTGTGAGTTGTTCTGCCGTTCGTAAATACGATAATTCGGCTTCAGTTTTACGGTTAATATTAGCCTTAATTCAGTTAAACTGTGGTGTTGCCGTTATGTGAGATGTTTTTTGTTTTTGTCTCATACTAACTTGGATAGTAGATGGGAAAAAGTGTTTTCTATATAGCATTTCAAAATTGACCGAAAGTAAACTATTTATTTGCAGTTTAGCATGGGTTTTCGGTGAAAATTAATAATTGCTTGTAATTAATGCTTGTTATCAATAATATTTACTCCGCTTAAAAAGTACATAAATACACAAAATCTCTTCTGAATTTCTTACATTGTTTGACTATTTATGAAATTGCACATCCGTTGCATTAGAATTTAAACTTACGGAATATGTTAATTTTTCAGTTTGAATAAGATTTTATTTCATCGAATCTAATAAACACATTTCACTGTACTAATTCATTTTTTAGTATTTCTTCCCATCCTCCATCTTATCCCTCGTTGCCCGCTCTTTTTACATTTTCGTGTATTTTCCCCAGTGAATTGACCTCTCCCCTCTTCCCCCCCCAAGGCTACCCTCACCCCGAAACTATTTCCCACCCCCCCCCTGCTGAGGGTTACCCTCACCCCCCTCGCGGGTTTCCCTCTAACTGGTCAGAGGGGAGCAGTCAGCGTCACCGGCCTCCAAAAAATGGCAACGAGGCTGACCAGCCGAGCTGTATACTGTGTATACTGGGTGTTGTGTATACTGTATACTGAGTGTAGAATGTATGTATGTACATTGTACAGTACATAGATATACATTGTGTATAATGTATTATGAAAATTCATCATCAATAATGTATGATGCGCATACATTGTCTATCGTACAGTACATAGATATACATTATGTATTAATGTCACTTATTTGTTTAAATCGCCAGTTGACTAAAAATTTAAAAGCAAAGAATAGTCCACAAAAATTCATATCTTTATAGAAAACGTACGAACGTTTTCTATAAAGATATGAATTTTTGTGGACGATTTTTTGCTTTTAAATTTTTAGTATACATTATGTGTAATGTATTATGAAAATTCATAATGAATTATGTATGATGCGTATACATTGTGTATAAAGTATTTTGAAAATTCACTATGATTAATGTATGATGCGTATATACTGTGTATAATGTATTTTTTAAATTTATCATGAATAATGTATGATGTGTATACTTTATGTATGATGTGTGATTTGTATAGAACACAGCCAAGTTCCCTCCCCCAAAGAAATCCCAGCTTTTCTTTAAAGTCGTTAACGACATTAGGTCATCTGTCGTAAAGTTGTTATAGCTCTTCTTATGGCGCCAACACAAAGCCTGCGAGACGCGTGTGAGAAGTCGTACGGATAACTTAGTCGTAAGAATAACATTATTAAAATGACTAGTCGTAAAATTTACCTGCCGTAAGAATAAGCTGTCGTTGGAAAAACGAAGTCGTAAGAATAACCGGCCGTTAAAATAACTTAGTCGTAAGAATAACACGTCGCTGAAATAACTTAGTCGTAAGAATAACCTGTCGTTGAAATAACTTAGTCGTAAGAATAACTTTTCGTTTTAGTATAACTCAGTCGTTAGATTGAAACGTTATACTTTTTATTACTTGAGTTCTTGAATATTTCTGCGCCTCCACTATATTGGCTATATATTTCACAGCTCAGTTAGGCCTAAAGTATTGCAGTATATGAGAACTATATAGGCACTTTGTAATAAATTGATATTATATATAGTAAATTGCATCATTTATACTATATAGGTATTATATCTTGATAGCTGGACTGAACGAATGTTATGTTAATAGGATTTCGTGGACGGTCATACATATACAGTTATGTTGCATATATCTTGAGCCAAGTAATGTATAGTGTATATAATGTATAGGTGTATATAGTGAATAATTAGTGTATTAAAAATTTGAATTATTTTCATGCTGTTAATCGGCATACAAAATATTTAATCATCTAATCTCTCTTAAGAGCAGGGCACGATTTCACATCCAAAAATTTGTGTACAAAAAAAACCTTGTTATAAATAAAATAATCTCCTTTACTGTAGGAAAAAATAAGTTAATTTTTTAGGCAAAAATTATGAAAATGGAAGTTAAAGAAGTTACTCACAGTTATTTGAAAACATATATTATATATGAGATATATAATGGTATAAATTAAGGAATTAAGCAATTAAAAACACATCCATACTCACTCACCTCCTTCAACTGAATGAAGCAGAATCCCTGGATTCGAGTTCCAACTTAGGATCAACTTGAATTTAAACTTGGATTATTTGACAGAATTGAAAATAGTCAACTTTGCTTTTTAATTGTTATGTTTTAAAGAGAAAGATCAGCCGATCTATAGGTGTTGGCGGTTGGCCGTGCATAACGCGGCCATGGCACATTATTAATCTTGTGAATAAATCAGCAAAATTCATTTTATATTTTTATCTATTGAATGGAGAGAAATAAAAATAGATTATGCTCGTTGAAGAATTCATTAAAAAGATATAAACATTTTTTCGAGTTAATTACATAAAATACTATAATATATTATGTTACGTTATATTATATTATTATATTATATTATATCTGTCTCTTATACACATCTAGATGTGTATAAGAGACAGGCACAGCAGCACAGCAGCACAGCAGCACAGCAGCACAGCAGCACAGCAGCACAGCAGCAC